CGCATGTTAGTCTGAAAAACCGGTTGTTTACTTCAGTTAAGTAAGTCATGGTTTCCCATCAATGTCCGGAGTAAGGAGCAATTAAGCCCGATATTTCCACGTCCGAAAAAGCTGTCGGGAACTGTAACGTTTTAATTAGTGAAAGTAAGCATCTAGTTTTGATTAGAAGCTTGCTGGGCATCATAGAATACCACTAAAACAGTCAAATTTAGAACGATTTGGTGCTCTTGTACCATTTTACTGGTCCCCGAAAATGCGTCAAAACTCTTCTGCACCAGCTAAGCTTTTTCCACTTCTTACCATTCGGATTTTCGCTCCACCAGGCTTGTGCCTGCATCCAAAGTAGCGACATATTGCGCAACACTGTGCTTCATACGTGCCCTCAATCTTTCTAAAATTGAGTGATTTAGTGGTTTTTGACTATGCCAATAAGTTTCTAATTCGAACTTTGTGCTTATGCCTAACAATAAAAAAGTTAATTATGCAAAACTATCAAATTAATTACCGTAGGCGCTGTATGTCCCATTAAATAGGTCCCCCCGCCATTGACTAATACGGTGCCAACCCTATTTTCGTATGATGCGTAGCTTTTACAACAACAGACATATATCCTAAATGTGTATGCACACGAGACATACCCTGGTGTGCGTATCAGGCCAGTTTAGAGTGCCCCGGTGTGCACGTTAGACTGGTCTGGTGGGGCGTAGTGTGCACATCAGACCGGCCTAGTGTGCTGTGGTGCGCACATCAGACCAGCCTAGTGTGTTTTGGTGTGCAAATCAGACCGCAATAGGTTTGTGTGATGGGCACACGAAACCAGCCTAACACATCATGTGGGCATACCAAAACACGTTTGGCTGGATTGATGTGCGCACCAGAACACCAGGTCGGTCTGATGTTCACACCGGGCCGGCCTGATGTTCACACCAGAAAACATTAGAACACACCAAACCGGTCTGGTGGATTTTGTGCGTGGGGACCCACCTTCATGCTCGGGGAGGCTCGGCTGAGGCTCCTTGAACGCGAGTGGTGTGGCAAAATAGGACGTTTCAATGCCCAGTCTGCGGCTTTAACGCGCAACCAGGAGTAGATGCAGTAAGCCTAGCTCATTGGCACGTCACACTGTATGACCTAGCATGTTCTGTGTTCTCCACCGGGCTTCCGCGTAAAGCCTATGCTTGACAGATCCCTAGCTGTGGGCACTATAAATGTCCGGGGTATATATTCCAGGCTCTGGCAATGTCAACTGAGCGGCTTGTTTGCAGATAAAGACCTCGACATTGTTGCAGTTCAGAAATAAAGATAGAAAGTGAAGACCGGACGGAGAGCATGGTGCGGCTTTTAGTGTTACAGTTCATTGTGTGCGTTATTCATGCAGTTGAAATGTTCGGAGGGAGTTTCGTGTTTCTTAAAGGGTCTATTGGAACTGTTGAACAGGTGAATAGTGTTGAGTAGGGTAGGATGGTATTTGTCATTTTTCGTTTTGTAATTACACGTCTTGCATTGTGCGCATTTATGCCCCTAACCGCATTGAGGAGATATGTTTTCTTTTATATTACGAAGAAAGTTTAAACCGATCGCCTAGTCACTTTGTTGTGGATTTTAACTGCGTCTGTGCTCCAGAGGATAGATGGAACGGAGTACGATATAGAGCTGTCAGTTTCGAGTACTTGTGCGATATGATGCAACGGTGTGAACTGGGAGACGATGCTCACATTTCCGTAAGTCCAAGGTGCCTACAGTTTACGCGCTTCCAAGGAGCTAGCCACGCGCGTTCAGGCAGGGCCTATGATTCCGTCGAACTTATCGCGATAAGCGAAAAGTAAACAGTAGATCTCGTGTCTTTTAGCGATCACTGCCTTGTTTCTGTTATGTTGTACTCTTCCCGAAAAGCTAACATGAAGTTCAGTTGGAAATTGTGAAAATTCATTACTAAGTTATTGGATATGATACCCTCGTTGGTAATGCTCAAGAAGGGCATTGTACTTTGACTGGCACAGAGGGTGGTATCGGTGCAAAATGGGAACGTTATAAACAAGAGATAAAAGTAAGTGCCCTCGAAAGATCAAGATTTTTTTTTTAAACCACGGGGAAACAAACCACATAAGAAAGCTAGTTGCCTGCTACAGGCGTTAATGCGCCTAGAATGTCGTTCAGCAGGCCTGTTTTCTATAGACCGTTTTGGAAACACTGCCCTCTGTTGGCAGCTGTAAAATTCCTGCCGGGCCGGCGGGCGGGCGGGCGGACGGACGGACGGGCGGACGGACGGACGGGCTAGCGGGCGGGCGGGCGGACGGACCGACAAGTAAACAATAAAGAGAGTGAATGTAGCGTTGTGTGAAATCTTCTTGTTAACCGCGATACAGCACCAAGGCATCGCAGTCCATGGCTTGCGATGTTAAACAGATGGTGGTGAAATCCCTCCTGGAGCCCACTTGAACAGCAAGTTCCGGTACAAGAGACACGCGTTGTATCTGACTGCTGCAGAGAATATAGTTGAACACGATGTACTCGTGTCTCCTGCTCATTTACACTACCGAAGTTTTCTTTGGGTGCAGTTGCAGTCTGTTTATTTTTTTTCCATTGCTCAACAGAACATACGATGTTTTGTGACAGAATGTGGTCATACACATTCTCAGCGTTCTTGAAAAAGTTCAAGTCATCGGCGTCCAGTAACGCTTTGGAGTTGTTCACCTGCGAGAGCAAGTCATTACTGAACACTAAAAACAACAACGGCCCATGGTTGGAGCCCTGGGGCACACCTGATAACGAGACAAACGGCTGAGACATACAATCTGAAATAATTAACTCGATTCTGGCGATTTCCCAAGTAACTTGCAAACATTTAACAGTAATTCGTGCATAAGCCGTACTTATTCAGTTTGTACAAAAATATGTTATGTGAAACCTTGTCAAAGGCCTTTGACTTTTCAAAATAAATAGTATCTGCTTGACCGCGGCTGTGTACGAAAGGCGCGCTAAGCCCGAGGAAAACACTCATATTTGCCTCAATATATGTGCCGTTCGCGAAGCTGTTCTGCAATGGTGATATTTTCGTTTAAAATAAAAGTGTAGACGTTCATAAATGACAATTTCAAAAACTTTTGAAAATCGCCACAAACGTGACGCTAGACGAATATTGCTTATATTATATTACATGTATCGCCAGACTTCAGTATTGGGAGAAACCACAGACATTCTCCACCGAGAAGGGAACACAGCGCGCTCTAGTGACAAATTATACAAAAGACTTAGACCTAAAACCAGGATTTCAGCGCATTCCTTAATAATGAAATTTAGGATGCCGCCTGGGATGGTAAAAAGTTTTGATTTCAGCTTACGCACATCAAGTGACGCCTCATTTTCTCATAAACGTTCCCGTGCTAAACAATCGACATTTTCCACGAGGTACAAACCAGCGGGCGTGCTACCTGACTGCAGAAAGAAAAAAAAAGAGCTGAAGTGACGAGCGAACGTTTCATATTCCTCTTCCTGTGTGCAACAAAACTTACCATCGGGTTTCATCGGAGTTGCTATTTTCGCACATGACGCCAAAAACAATAAGGTTGCTATTTAAATTCCCGTTCTAGTCTATCCTGCTGAAGTCCTTCGTCAGGGGGAAGAAGATTTTTAGCTTTTCTACTAGAAATTGAGAATCCGTAGTGCCAATACTTGCAATCCAGATTCTTATATACTCTATGGTAATTTCGCTTCTTGCATATATAATAATTCTAATCTGCTGAAAACCAAGTGAAGAATTTTAACTTCTTCGGACAACATTTAGGTAAAAATTCCTCTATGGCATCCTGTTAAATCATCATCAGCATATCGACGGAAGAGTCAACGTTTGTGGCGCCGAAGAAACCAGACCAGTCAGGGCTACGCAGACGACCATAAAGCCCCGCGTAATCGTAATAGGTGTATCTAAACTGCGATAACTATTGCACTTTTTGCACTCGAAATGACAAGAAAGAAGACAGCGGAAACGGCGGATGGAAAGCGCCAACTGGTACAACCGTGTCGCATGTGTTACTGACATTAAAGCCAGAAAAATTAGTTATTACCAAATCTCTAACGTTTGGGGGAAAATTTTTATCGTGTGAATCTGATACAGTTCATTAAAATTGGTGAACTCAAATAGGCATTGTGCTTTCCCACGTACTACGCTATTGCAGTCCCAGTGGATTAAGCATGTTGACCAATGCACCTTCGGTAGATTGAAGTAGCCATAAATATGTACTTTTTAGTTCCAGAAAGTTTCGGAGTTTAAAGTTAGCCGGAAACTAATGACAACCGATAAGGCAATTCGAGCCGTCTGACGCTAGCACCTCAACTCAGACGCATTCCTCGTAGGTCTCGAGTCTCTCCTTCTGACTGCCCGAAATAAAGATTTATACGCTATGAGGATCCCACACACTTTTTTATCCGTCTCTTTGTAATTCCGATCCCTTCTAGACACTGAATACTTCTCTGCGAAGTGTGACTAGTTTCTGCAATATGAACTCAACCAAGGTATGGTCAAACAGCTGACAACATATTCGCAAACATAGGCACTACCAAAAAACGCCTCATTTTTTGTTCTGACGCGTACCATGTTATTTTGAAAGTATAAGCTAGTTTTGCGCGACGCGATTAGAGGTTGTTAGGATGACATCAGACTTTTCGAAGAATCGCGAAGGCGACAAGCTGCCGCAAAATGGACGGAAGACGCAGCCAACTGGCTACACATCGGGTTTGTTAATAATTTTACGTAGTCTTTCGTCCATGAAAACGTGGAAGGATCTGTACGAGTGGTACCTTGTTTTCAGTCTCGCACATGTCACCGTTCTGTCTGTAATGAACCCCTCAAGTAGCTCATGTACGTTGGACGCCATAGTACCGGGAGCTAAACCATTGACGAAAAAGACTGGCTGCCGGCGCTTTTGGCGCTAACTGAAGCGTGCGCTGCTTAACGGAGTCAAGCGTAGCTGGAGGCCTCGTGGTATTGCTCTCCTGTTTCCCTAAGGTTGGTGGATCTTGTGCAGAGGACGAGTAGTAGAATATTGAGATCCTGCGTCCTCATTCAAGAAGCCTGGCCTTGTCGTGGTTACACAAGCGAAGCTTTGCGCTGGCGGTGCCGGTTGACCGGAGCAACGGAGCGGCGGAAATTCAGTTTGCCCCACGACACACTCGCGTAAATCGCGTATTTGCACACGAAGAGTCACATCTTCGGCACGTAGCTGTTGCACTTCAAACGTTAGAGCAGCTTTCTCAGCTGCCATATTCTGCATCTGCATGACGACGTTAGGAGATACGGAGCCGCCGGCAGTACTCGCAAGCTCTGGGCAAGACGCAGATTTTTCGGTGGGTGTGTCGCCGGTGCCGTTAGCACAGGCAGCCAGGCCTGCAGGAGGGTCAGGTTGCTTCACGCACTTGACGCATCTGTAGCTTCTGGACCCAGACTGCATGAGGAAATTGTATTACTCGGATGGAATGTCCAAGCATTTGTATTGAAACCGGTGTTCACACTACAGACACGGTATAAATCCCAGTCTGCCACGACTGGGCTGAAAGAACCGTGTTCGTCGAACGTTCGGAGTAGGAAAACCATGAAACGCGCGTTCGTCGGATATTATCAGGTGCTTTTCAGTTATCGCGAGTTGAATTCGACGGAGTTTGAAGGACTTGACCTGTCATTAATGACGAGGCTAGACGATGAACGTAGAAAAAACTTACAACGGCCAATACTGTCGTGCGAAGTTAAAAAGGCGATGCACCATTTGAAACCGGAAAATCGCGTGTACCATATGGTCTGGGAACGGAATTTTATAAACCTTTCAAAAACCAAACTGCACCTCTATTGCGTATTGTGTTTACTGAAAGTTTTGCCTCCGTCCTTTTTATCTACCCATATGATTTTCATTCCCAAGTTTGAAGATGACATGCCGCTCCGCCAAGTAGGATCCTATCCGCCTATAACATGACTAATCTTAGTCACAAAACTCCTAGTGAAAGTTTTAGCAGAACGTTTAGAGAGCGTTATAAGTATAAAAACATGTGCATGAAACATGTGGCATAAGGGGAGAAGTACGGTCACGGATATACATGTTGCGCGTTTTGATTCTATGGACCAAAGGGTCGCAGTGTAAAAATGGACCCAGAAAATACTGTTGATCGGGTGTCCCACGATATTATTTATTCTGTTTCGAAACATGTTAATTTAGGATCAGTTTTGTGGGATATTGTCACGATTGACAACGGATGAGGCAATGATAACTAAATAAACTAGACGTTTAATGGGGCGAACTTGCGCCCAAAAATAAAAAGGAAACAGGTGATAACAGAGAGCGTCGCGGGCGTCGAAGTCGACGTAACAGCAGAGTCGAACGCTGGGGCGAGACTGACTCCGCTCGACTTGCGGAGCCCCCTATGTACCCTCGTAGGTTTCTGGATCATTCGGCGTAGAACTTTCAGAGCGTAGAACATTCGGAACTTGATCAGACGAGAATGTTCTCGACCTTAGGAGAAGGACAAGTTGAAAGAATAAATAAAAAGACAGTACGTTTTGTAAGCAGTGAGAGAGTGCAGGCGAGCTGGTAATCAATCGACATCTCGTAAACCCTGAGATGGGGAACGATAAAAAAAACGGACGAACAGAAAAAAATCTCAATACAGTATGTTGACTGGAATCGAACCGACAGCTTCCGCTCGACACTCAAGCGCGGTAACCACTCGGCCACGCACGCGCTTGCTCACCTACGCTCGTGGCAATATCATGCGGAGTTTCAGAGTTACTTATATATACTGTAAACGATTATTTATTTGCAGTGGCGCTCTATAGTTTTGCTGGCCAACCACCTTCACAGAGTGGAATGGCACCAATTTTCTAATATAATATTTCAGTTTGTATGACATATATTTTTTTACGATTCACCAACTACCCCTTTTCTCTAATCTTTTGGTCCTGCAACGTAATGTTCCCATGACACTATACTGTTGAGTTAAAATTTTACGAAGTGCCTGTCCCTTAGTAGAATGAAACAAAAACTGGCATCTAATAGAAGAACGAGAACAGTGGTCCCCCGTGAAATGTTAAACATATTAGTGAAGTAATTTTAGTATTCTCTCTGTCGCAAAATAATTTATTTCCCGTGACGCGCCTGTGCTGCTAAGTCATGTCGGTCAAATCTAGCTCACGAATTAAATACGAACACTGCACGACACTGTTAGCGAAAACAGGTGATATCATTTTTTTTTTCAGAAACAAAAGACAGTTTATAAAATACCGTGGTTGAAAGTAGTTGTTTGGGGCACTAAATCATACTCGTACACGTTACTGAAAAAGAGTAAGGAATTAAATTTACAATTAATCGGGGCTAAATTGTAATTTATTACAATTGCAATTACCCATCCATAAAAGTAAGTAACCGTTACCCCGAAAAGTAGTCCGTTACTTTCGTGGCGTTACTTTCAGTATTACTGTCTTCAATTAAGCAACAAAGGGAAGAGGGTTATTCAAATTCTTATTGTTGTAACCTGTTCCATTTAATGGCCTTGAGTATTTTGAGAAACAGCTGACTCTCGAAACTCGTCAGAAATTTTGCGTTATTTCTTACTGAATATGTCGACTGCTACGCTGAACACCCTTTGAACTAAAGCACCGCATGGGAATGCCATATTGTGCCTCACGAATGTTTTATGCTCTGCATTGATTTTTTTCAGCGAAGCAATGGAATTACCATACTTACCTCGAAAATAGAGCAAAGCTTCCTAATTGCAGCCGTTGCCTGATAGTCAAGAGTTTTAGTAGATCGTTTCGATACCTCCGATGCCCCCGATAACAATATGATGAACCTGCAAAGGGGGCGGCGGAGTATCGGGTATCGTTATCGGAGCCATCGGACCGATCTACTAAAATTCTCCATTGTTGAAATAGTAAGCTGTAGAAGTCATCATACATGTAGCCAAAACTAAAATATAAATTGATTTATGTCCATCTTATTATACCGGCATATAATGCCAGACAATAGCAAAACATAGTTGTAACAGTACGGTGATAATTAAATAATAAATAAGGTTTGCCTCGATATTATTCTTCCTTTGGTTCTGAACAGGTCGAACCTCGGATGAGGCGTTGGTGAATAAAAAAAAAAAGCTCCTTGTATATAAATTTAGGTAATCGAAAAAAAAGGACATTTATAAAAACAATTAATTAAAACGTTGGTTGAAACAAGGAAATGTAAACGCACGTTTGTCGTGTGTACCTTTCTTGGTGCCGTTCAAACACACGGAGCACGAACCGACCGCAGTTTAGTCCGGTGTTCTCCAGATAGACGTCCGCTGATGCTACGTGCACCGAAGGGCAGAATACTAAGTAAGCTGCGCTATGGCCTCACTCATGAATTTCACTCTCCCCTCAAGCCCAAAATAACAAGTCTACGTCAGCCACCATAATGTTTATTTGGAAAAGTATCTGCTTGAGATAGGGTGCGTCCTGCTGGGGCAAAAACAGGAACAAGAAGAAAATAAGACTATTACCATTTTCGAAATGCTCGCAAAAAAAAAAAAAAAAAAAGACGAACAAAAAGGGTTCCTCAGAAGCAGATAAGCTGGCTGGAATTCGCAAATAAAGTGGGCCAACCCTATACTTCGTTTCAGCTTCCGTCCGAGCGCAGCCAAAGGCTGAGGGTCGGTTCGCAACTCCGAGAAGAGCATTCCTACGCACCACAAAGTAGTCCGCAAAAGTAATTTTCTTAAATTAACTGTTTTGTGCGTAAACATAGCACAACATTCCAGATGTGTACTGCTGAGAATCATTTGCAACGAAAGGAATTAAATATCTGAAGAGTATGTTTTTATTAATATATGTAAATGCGTGTGGTTTGGTGAAAACGCGTACATCCGCTGTCAACACGGCTGCAGCGCTCGGTTTTTCTGTGTGATTTCGTTCCCGGTATTGGCCGAATCATGTGCTTCGCTGCTTTCCTCACCGAGTTGTTTCAAAACGTCTTTTCGCAAAGGCACATTTGGGCGTCTGGCGCGAGAGGTCGTGATGAATGCCTACTTTCAAACTCGGCCGGAGACTCCGGCCGCGTCGTACCGGGAATGCATTGTAAACAAGAAAAGCGTCTGGGCCACCACTATACACTGATACGCGGCGAAATCGGGCACCCCTTTGCCTGCCGATCACATTGAACGCCGAGAAGCAGGTGGAAAGGACTGGGCCTCCAGCTCTGGTATATCCAGACAATACAAGGCCCGATGACCCCGTCGTTGAAACATCAACGGCGGGGTCATCGGGCACCTTCCAATGCGTACTCACATCTCGAAACTATGCCGAAATGACGAACAGATGGAAAGCTCGGACACAGACGCCAGCGGCTAGCTTGTGTACTGATATCTGCAGTGAATAACTTTCAGAACGTGAAAGGGCACTTTTTAAACCTGTATGTAGCAGACGATACCGTTGAAACACCCATAGCAGGCGAAATACTCGGCCAGCGCGGGCGGCGCGGACGAGCAGCGGCGCAGCGGAGTGATACAAAAGTGCAGGCGGGATCACGCGACTTCTTGCCGGCGTGTGATTGGCTCCGGCCACACGTAGCTTTGGCTGCACTCGGACGGAAGCTGAAACGAAGTATAGAAGTCGGACTACAAAAAAGTAAGTAGCTTTTAAAACAGGGTCAAATGAGGTGAAAGAAACAGAAAACAAATACATCCGGCTTTCTAAGAGAAGATAAGTGTGCAGCAACGAAAGAGGATGCTTGTGGCAATAAAGCGCGATCCAAACCAACTCTTCTTTTTGCGCCTGTAGGTCGTGCGGCTGCGGATGTGACGTATTTTCGTGACGTAGCGCCACTCCTTCGCCCCTTCCGGGCGCGCACAAAAAAAGTTGGATAATTTCAACTTTTTTCTCAACGCGCGGTGACGTATAGGGCGCTCCTGTGTCCCGGCCAATCGGTGGAAGGCAAGCTAGTTCCGGCTCCGCGTTTCTTCGCCGCCTTCTCAGAGCAAGTGACAAAAGCGCCCGGTGCGCATGCACAATTGGCCCCCTCCTCTCCCCACTTTTATTCTCTTCCAACATAACAACGCGATCTCTCTCTCTCTCTCTCGCCGCCTTCTGGCTGCGACAGACTGGCCTGGCTGGCCAGTCTGTTGCGCGCGTGCGCGCTCGCCCGAAGCTGGCCCGTCCAAACCAAAGCGCACGGTTCTGACTCAGAAAGCGCGCCCGGAAACAGCAAAAACGTCAGGAATCGCGTCACATCCGCAGCCGCACGACCTACAGGCGCAAAAAGAAGCGTTGGTTTGGATCGCGCTTAACGCCTTCACATATTATCACATCTCTTTTAGTGGTTTATAGGGTAGACGGAGCTTTGTCTCGTGTTGTAACAATATAAAAATGGTCGTAGTCACTATAACCGAGAAGGACATTGTTAATTCATGTCTGTGCACTTACCGCCTC